CCCCGCCCCGCCAAAAGGCGGGTTTTGGCGGGCTGCGGGCTGGCCCGCCCCGCCAGCCCGTTTTGACATCTCTAAGTGCATCAAAGAGAATTTTGTGCATGGTTGTCTTGTTGGGTTTTAAGACTAATTTAAGACTTATCTCTCTCTCACTCTCTCTCTCTCTCTTAGAGATTGGAAGAATGTGTATGGTCTGTGTTTGGTTATGACATGTGGTGGTTGAGACATGACTTGAGAGTTGCTTCTTCTTTTTGTGGTGAAGTAGCATTTATGTCCTGTTTGATGCTTGTGTGTGATGAAATCACACAATTAAAATTGGAGTTTATAACTTAAAACTCTTGAGGGAGAGCTTTGCGGCCCTTGTGGTCCTACCCGGCTCGATTCCGGATTAGTCGGTTCCTTTGTGGATCCGGAAACCGGAAGGTCCCTGTACCAAAAAAAAAAAAATTGGAGTTTATAACAAATCTAGAATGCCCAACAGCAAAGAAGAAAAAAAAAAAAAGTGCAGTGTTTTAAATATCGTACCGGTGGTCATACCGGTCTAGTCACCAGTACGCGGCAATATTGGTGGTATTACCAATTTAGCAAATGTAATGATATATATAAATATACATAAAATTATATAATGTCAAATGCAAAAAAAAGTAAAAAAATAAATGACCATAATCATTAATTTAAATTTCGAAATAAAATAAAAATAAAACATTTTAACTATCAATTTTTAAATTTTATTATTTTAATTAAAAAAATTATTTTTTTTTTTGCCGGTATTTTGCGGTTTTTACGGTATAATCTTGATACAAATTGGTATAACCGTAAATGGTAACACAAAACTCCTCGACCGGCTGGAATTTGAATAATCGCCTTCCTTCTCGCCGATTTGGACGTCGTGTACCTACAAAGAACTCTCACACCGGAGGGGTTTTCCGGTGAAGAGCCTCCGATGCTTAAGTCAGTGTGTATTCAATCAATTCTCAAGAGTAATAGAATGATCGTGTTGAGGAAGAAAGGCTCACCCCCTTTATATAGGAGTGAGATACCTGACCTAGGACTGCCCGGATTTGATGAGCTGTCTGCCCTAACTGCCCGTCCGTACACACCAAACGCGTGTGTCAGGGGTAGCCGTCTCCACTATCTTTTGCGCCAATCCTCTTTGGACGCGTGTCCTCCTGCACATGGGGTATGTTGTCAGAGGTGGTTATCGCCATCCACCACTGCCTTCTCGACACGCGTCCCCTTCACATGGGGCAAATATTCTCCTGGAATTCTGTCAGAGGCTCTTCCCACGCGCCTGTAAATAGGCCGATCATCGTGGTGTTAACTACTCGAAGTAGTCGACCTATCGAGGTCGAATAGGTTGCTCGATCATGCATCTGGCCGAAAGATAGTTTGGTCGACAGCTTTACTTGGTCGACTGAGTGACCGCCCGATTTCCTCGACTTTCCCATAGTACGACTTCTTCGACCGGCCCAGAGACCAGTTCGGCCCAGTGGATATAATATCCCATATCAGTAAATTTGATATTTTGAGTGTAATTGTACCATAACAATGACCGGTATTTGGTATTATAGGTATTATCTGCCAGTACGGTAATTTGGTTCCAAGCACAGCTGGCTTTGTGTAGCGAGGAAGGAAGGTTCCATCGGATTAATTCTAGCCGTGGAATAATATTGCCCCCACTCACATGGATTTTATTTTAGCAATAAGATTACACTACTCGCCCCCTACCTACTCTGATTTTGTATTGATTCTTCCGTGAGTAGTTAAAGGGGTGATTGTTTATGAATTCTACAGTAAACATTACACTTTTTGATGATACAAAAGTAGGAGAAGGCTATTCACAAAATTATTCCGTGAGAGTTTTTAGTTTGACGAGATGGTAGCTTTTTCCATAAAAGAAACTGAGAGACGTTGTGAGGTGTTTTATTAGCTAAAATTATTATAAAAGTAAATGAATAATGAACTAAAGATGTGGTGTGCAAGAATTATTAATTTATATTATTAGATATATTTGTAATATTGAGGATAGTGAAGTTACGTTAAAATTGAGAGATTTTGGTTATGATTTTAATATGGATTGAGTTTATTTATAAACACACTCTTAACCTTCTTAGGTGACGCTCACTGCCTAGATAAAAATTTTGATGTCTGAGTACCACATAACGCCTAAGGACTAATTTTTACAACACTATATTCAGATTATTGTGGTCGATAATGTTTGAGTCTAATTTTATTTAAGTGGCATTTAAATAGACCAACGTTTTGGATGATATGGATAAACTATATATATACTAGTAACACAATTCATTCTAATGCAAATTACTTGATTCTAATTAAAATAGACTTAAGACTAGTACCAGTCTCTCTTTTTTTGTTATCACATCAGCATAACACAGTCCACTTACAATTACATTAGATAATATATATTTTCTTAGATTGAGTCTATTAGTTGACTTGTAAATTTTTTTTAATGAACCTACAACATTATGAATGCTCTGTGGGGCACCCACATTGAAATTTTTAACAGCTTCATTTAAAGTGTAATGTAAATTTTTAACAGCTTCATTTAAAGTGTAATGTACTTGATCCAAACTAGTCTCGTGTTCTATATATCTATATATATGTTAAGGTTTGATTATTTGTTAAATATTAACTATTTCTCTCTAAAAAAATCTATTTACTATTTCAGAAAATTAATTTAACAATTTATGGTATATATCAAACAATCACTTATGGTTTAATGAAAATTTTGGAAAATATAAGTTTTATATTTGTACTTATTATTCACATATGTTTTTAAATATATAATAAAATTTATCAAAGTATTTATTTTATGGAATCACGTAATTGTCAGATCAAATTTCTGAATATAAATTTTAAAATGACACATATATGTACACATATATCATATATATTTGGCAAACTTCATGTAGCAATTAAATAGCATGTAATATTATACCGTGGTTGATGCCATTTTATGTATTTTAGATTAATTAATAATGAAAAATTCAAATAATAGTTATCGATCCGGATTCTTGCTTAAACTCGCACCTACGCCAAACTTGACTCACCTCGGTTCAAGCTAGGCGATTAAATCGACTTCAACTTAAGAAAATAATCGAGCTCTCATAAGACCCTTCGACAACCGACTTCCCAAAGATTTCTCGAAGCTTCGACTCACCAACCGAGTTCCGACCTAACCGAATTTCAAAACAGGTGACTAGGTTTGTATTTACATGAAATAGAAACCAAAATCTCGCATAAAAATTTTAAAATTATTGAACTTGGTAATCTTTTTTGAAAATTTTCAAAAAATCTCGGCTCTGGAAAATAATTAATCATTTTATGCTATAAAGTCGACAAAAATTAATAAATCTGATTTTGGTATAAAGTGGACGATTTTATTTGAGATATCTGATGACCATTTTTATTTCTGGTAGGAAATGTTTTGTTAAAATCAGAAAGATCTTTGAACCAATATTGTTAATAAAATTTAAATTTTATAATTAAATTTTTGAGAATTACTGCATAAATTCGAACAATAAGGTAACTGACAACAAAAATAGAAAATTTAATGTGTAGTCTAGATTTGAGTTTTAAATTTAAAATTCAAATAAGCAATTATTCAGAACTTACGAGTCAATATTAACTTGGACGTAAATGGAATGGTCAGTTATTTATAATTTAATAAATTATTCAAGTTCTTAAACTTTTTGATTTGAATAGTTATACAAAACTTAAATTTTTTGTTTCGGATAATTTATATAAAATAAATTCATTTTAATTAATGAAACAATATAAATTTTATAATTAATTTATTATTCACATAAATTTTTTAAGAAATGATAAAATTTTACAACACTAATTATTTTATGGAATCGCATTTTAGTCAAATGGATTTCTGAATAAATTTTTAAAATCACACTTATTTTGAAATGAGTATAACTTAATTTATTATCAGTGCACTGTACGGGTACTAATTTTAAATAGACATGTTTTATGTAATTTTTGAAAATTCAAGTTTCATGTAACATTTTGAATGTACTAATACATGTAAATTGTATTATATATTGATTCCATATTTTTAATTTATAAATATTATTTAATAAAAAATTTTAGTTTATAAATATTAATAAATATCAGGTAGAATTGGTTTTGTTTCATATGTTATGACTTATGAAATAGACGTTTGAATCATAGATAGTTGCCCTTTATTTTCTTTACATTTTTATGTACACGAAATAAGATAATCGAACTTGGCAATATATATAAACCTAAAATAATTTCGATTCAAAATTTGTTACCAATTCTGTAGATAATTATTGATTTGTAAAATATTTAAAAAAAAAAAAAAGGTAAAATAACAAGCATTCATAACTAACAATTTAGATTTAAATATGCATAATAAAATTACACAAAAATTAACACTTTTCATAATACCACTTTTATTATGAAATAAAATAAAATAAAATAAAATACACATGATAACCTCATAATTTGACTTTTAACAGTTTGACTTCCCCTCAAATTCCTCACATATAAATGACTAACAGTTGACTTCCCCTACAACTCGCATATATAATACTATGTCGACATTTTCTATTTCATCTTCAAAATTCATATACTATAAATAATCCCACAAAATCACCCTAAAAAATCACTCCCTACAATCCAAAAAGATCAAACTCTTGATCGGAAGATGAAATTTCTATCATCGTCTCTGGTAATATCACTGGCCGTCCTCCTTCCGGCGGCGGTCTCCGGCGACTGCACCTGCGAGCTCGACGGGGACGAAGCGGGCGGCGGCAGCAGCGGAAGCCTCGCCCTCAAATACAAAATCGCCGCCCTCGCCGCCATCCTCGCCGCCAGTGCTGCCGGCGTCTGTCTCCCGGTGGTGGGAAAGACGGTGAAGGCCCTGAGCCCTGAGAGGAGCTTCTTTTTCGTGCTGAAAGCGTTCGCAGCCGGCGTGATCCTGTCGACGGGGTTCATCCACGTGCTGCCGGACGCCTTCGAGAGCTTGAGCTCGCCGTGTCTCGACAACCGGCCGTGGGGCGAATTCCCGTTCGCCGGGTTCGTCGCCATGGTGGCGGCGATCGGGACGCTGCTGGTTGACACCTACGCCACGTCGTACTACGGGCGGCGCGAGGCGGCGAAGGGGACCCCGCCGGTGAAGGACGGCGTCGGCGGGGTAGATGCCGGCCTGGTGCCGGTCCACACGCACGCGACGCACGGCCATACGCACGGAGCTATGTCGTCCGGATCTGGCGAGCCTGAACTCCTACGCCACCGTATCATCTCCCAGGTATTAATTAATTAATCATACATTGTTTTAAATAATTTATAAGAAAATTATAATATTACTCACTCTATGTTACAACAATTTTTCTAATTCATGCACTAAACTTAACTGTTAAATTTTGATTAATTGATAAATAGATTATTATTTCTTAATCAATATTCATAGATAATTTATTTTTTTCATTGAATTCAAATTGAATTAGGTTTTGGAAGTCGGCATCATAGTCCACTCGGTGATAATCGGGATAGCATTAGGCGCCTCGCAAAGCCCCAACACAATACGGCCCCTCATAGCCGCATTGAGCTTCCACCAGCTTTTCGAAGGCATTGGCCTCGGCGGATGCATCACGCAGGCCAAATTCAACCCCCGAGCCGTGGCTATAATGGCCGCCTTCTTCTCCCTAACCACGCCTATCGGCATAGCCATCGGCATCGGGATTGCGAGCGTGTACAGCGAGACGAGCTCGACTGCCCTCATCGTGCAAGGTCTTTTCAACTCCGCATCGGCCGGGATTTTGATTTACATGGCGCTTGTCGATTTGCTTGCGGCCGATTTCATGGGAACTAAAATGCAGGGAAGTTCCAAGCTCAGGCTGGGTGGCACTGTTGCTCTTCTTTTGGGTGCTGGGTGCATGTCCATTTTGGCCAAGTGGGCTTGAAAAGGTTGGAAAGTTTTGCTGTTTTATGGACGAGTTTTTAGTGTTGATGTTGGGCTGCTGCGTAGAATTTTTGGCCTAAAGAACTTCCTCTCTAAAGAAGAGGAATATATTGTTTTTTATATGATTGGAAGTTGTTGAAATATTATTTGTGGAAACTTATTTGTGATTAAAAAAAAAAAAAAAAGTACTTTTTTAAGCATTAAAACAAACACCAGAAGCACACTCTGTATAACCAACCCTCCATTACAAATGCTCAGTCAATCAAAGCATAATACACATTATACACCAAGTTCTGGACCTTCAATCCTTTTGCCATTACAAAAAATCACACCACAAATAGCTAATCTTTCTGTTTAATTTTAGTCCATATAAAAAATTGAATTTTCTCCGGCATCACTCGAACTCGTCGCCTGTCACACACTCCTTAACGAACCTGTCGAGATACTCCCACGAGGGCCCACCTTCCGCAACACTCGCCCGAGCCCTCTCCCTCATCTCCTCCACTCTTCTCCTCACCTCACTACCTCTCTCCATCACCGCCCTTATCCCACTCTCGATCTTCTCAGCTGCCACCAGCCGCCCGTCCTCACCGCCCTTCTCCTTGTAGCTCAGGCTAATCTCCACCGCCAGCCCCAGCTCCCTCGCCAGCTGGAAAGCATTCATTTGCTGCTCCGCGTGCAGTGGCCACGTCGCCATAGGTACCCCACACCACAAACTCTCCAGCACCGAATTCCATCCACAGTGGCAGACGAACCCCCCGATAGCTCGGGTCCCGAGCACCTCAAGCTGCGGGACCCACCCCACCACCCTCCCCTTACTCGCCGTCCGGTCGAGGAACCCTTCCGGAAGGACCCCCTCGTAATCTGCATACTCGCTTGGAAAACCCGCGCTTCTTGACGAACGGCGCCTTAGGGCCCACAAGAACCGGGTCCCGCTCCTCTCGAGCCCAACAGCCAGCTCCCGAACCTGGTCCTCGGCCAAGCTCCCCTGACTCCCAAAGCAAACGAACAACACAGACCCGGTAGGCTGCTCGTCGAGCCAACCGAGCGAGTCGGGCCGATTGAGACACGGCCCGTGGTTCAAAATCGGGCCAACCGGGTACACCGGAGGAACGGGTCGATTCCCATAAGCTGAACCTAATGAAAACGAGGCGATTGCGTGAGCCTCCAGATCGGTGAATGTATTGACGAGTATGCCCTTGGCTCTCCAATAGTCTCGGGCGTAGTGTAGGAACCGGTCGAGCCACTGCCGCTTGTCTACGAGGACGAGCGACATGACCTCCGGGGGGACGGGCTTTTCGAAGCTCGGGATTCGTATACCCGTTTTCGAATTTTTTAAACCGGGCACTTCTTCGTTCTTCTCGTCTTGCAGCGTCTGGCAATGGAGCATGGCCCCGAGGAAGCTGGCGGGCGACGTGAAGAACACGTAGGCAGGGATGCCAAAATCCTCCGCGACGCGGATCATGGAGGTGCACAGCATGTCGACCAATACGCCGGCGATGTTTGACCGGCGGGCTCGGAGGAAGTCGGAGATATTTGACTTTTGGCTGAGGACGAGGCTGTGGATGAAGTATCCGCGGGTTTTGGAGCTCCACTCGGGAGTCGGGTCGGTTGGAGGTAGCTGGAAGAAATGGAGGCCCGGAGTGGAGGAAGGGGAGGAGCTGAGTAGGTCGGAGTAGGACCCGCTTACGGTGTCGATGGAATCGGGGATCTTCATTAGGAGCACTGTGATTGACAGAGTTTTACCTGCATATGTATAGTAGTGTTGTGTGAAAAGGAGATTGTTAATTGTCAGAAATAGTATGATATGTCAGCATTCCTCGTTTTTTCATTCTAATCCGGTGAAGGTGAAGCGAAACGGAACATAAAAGCACAAATCAGTAATTAGAGACAATCACAATGTGCAAGAAGTTTTAAGTCATGACGTTCTGTTTATACTTGATAAATCTTGAACTCATAGAGTAAATATATGAGCTTCTACGCGTGAATGTTCACAATCTTGATTCAATACCCGGGCAAGAACACATGGAATTACAGGAAGTAATAGTAATTTAACCCAATAAGTAGTCCAAATCATAGACATTTCCAGCTTTTTACTACATGTTCGACCAAGAAAAATGTCAAGTCGACTGAGATTTGAGAGGGCTTTTTCAAGCTCTCACGTTTATTGATCTAAAAGGCCCATTTGGTAACAAGAATCCATGAAACCAAATTCACTGTCCATAGATTGAGACCACAAAAGTGTACCTTTTTCCTCATAAACTCAAGATCTATATATATATATATATAATATATATATATATATATATATATATATATCTTTAAAAATGAAGCTGAAGTCAGTAATTACTCAAATAGAACTTGCAAAAATCCAGATTTTAGCTGTAAAATGATAATTCGAGCTCCAAGTACACAGCAGCAAGATAGGAAAGGTGCTCTATAAAGGTCGAACCAGAGAAATTACCACGAGGTAGAAGGTTTTGACGGCGGAGGATGAGCTTGGCGAGCTCGACGATCTGCACGTGGCCCATCACCGGCCATGGGACACAAACCAGTTGCAGAGGTTCGCCTTCCGCCATCTCTCTCTCTCTCTCTCTCTCTCTCTCTCTCTCTATATGATCTCTCTCTCACTCTCTATGATTGTTTTATTGTATTTTTTATATATATATATATATATATATGCTGAAAGGAGACCTTTTTTGTTTATTTGCATTCAAGTCCTTGTGGTTTCAGCCGTGTGATTGAATGGTGAAATTGTAATCCCCTCTCTGTATATTAATTCAAAACGTGTCGAGTCTAGGTGGCAGATTCCCACGCTTCGGATGTTGACATGACAAAAATCTATGCTTCCTGATGTTGTATTTATATTATTTTTGTTCTGGAGTTAGATTTGGTATTGAACATAAATAACTTTACACATATATTCATTAACTCAACCACCCATGTTGTACATGGGTATTAATATTAGTTTACGGTTTGTTTGTTAATTTTTTTCCTCTATTTGCTTGTCTCTATTATTATCAAAAGTAGAACATGTAATTGTCTATTGTTAGAGTGATAATTCACCTCCAGTGTAAAAATTGGTTGATTTTGTTTTGGCTCTTGTTTATGTTGTAGTTTAGGATTTAAGGTGCTTGCCTTACTATATAGATTTATCAAGTTGTTTTGATTCAACTGATTTATTAATATATATATATGTAGTTTTTTTTTTTTTAAATGAAATAAAATAAAACAATTTGCTCTACTTTTCACTAGCATTGGGTTCTAAAATTTTGTAATTGAAATGTCATGTGATTCATCTTAACCATACACACCTGCAGGATGATTTTTCAAATAATTTTGCATAATCTTTGACCTTACAAAGTGACTTTGCAACCAAAAAATAGAGAATTACATAACTTGTAAATCATTAAGTCTCAAGATGTCAAGTGTACAACATTCTTGTTCTTCCTCTTCTTGAATTTCTTCACAGCTGCTTTCATCACTTTAGCCCATGCCTGCACATTCCCAAAATGCCCACAAATAACACAATTATTATTATTATTATTATTATTATTATTATTATTATTATTATTATTATTATTATTATTATTATTATTATTATTATTATTATTATTATTATTATTCGATCAGATAATATCAATAATTTCAAGGACTGTTGTTGCATAAACAAACAAACAAAAAAAAAAACAATTCTACACTTATTTTTCTAGCATTATAAATACACAAGAAATCCCTTTCATTTGTAATTTTTTCCTTTTTTTTTCACAGTTACACAAAATCTGCACTTCAAAAACAATTAACCAACCAAAAAAACAGTAGTACCTTTGGACTTGGGGAAGAAGAAGACAGCTGGCGGCCCGAGCCCGCATGAGAAAGCCCGAAAGACTTCCTCTTTCTCCTCTTCATCTTACTGCATCCCCTGACATTTCCGAGCACGGTGTCGGCGAATTTCCTCTTCATCTTCGCAGCCATTTTTTTCGTATTCTCCAGGAAGCCGCCGCCGGTTTCGCCGTACGACAGCCGCCGGGAAAGGTCGAGTCTTGCAGCGGTGGAAGGCGGCGGACGGGGGAGCAGAGGGGACCAAATGGAGCTCTGTGCGTAGTTGAAGTCGAAAGCCGAGTTGTCCGGGAACTTGCCGAGGAGGTCGGTGGACATGGAAGATTCGAGATACTCGACAACCTTTACCAATGGGAACGAATCTTCGCCGTCGATGGAGATTGGCGGCATTGTGAATTTCGAGTTTTTTTTTTGTAGGAATAAAAAGTTTTATGTTCTGTTTTATTGTTGAAAAGATGAGAGTCATGAGAGGGACAATGTGGGAGTTTATGACGGTCAGAAAAGTAGCCGTTGAGGGTTTGGAAATAAGACAAAAAGTAGATTAAAAAAGGGATATAATTGTTAGTCCCACATTGAGTGCTTAACAAATAACAAAGTAGATTAGAATGGTGATGATTTGGCTTCATTCGCTGCGGAAGGATCCTTGGTGTACCATTTCTTTACCGACCCTCCAAATGGTGTTAGACAGTGGTTAGAACACGACCTCATTGGTGTGTCTTACTCGCGAAACGTATGTAACTCCATTGATTAGGCCATGCCTTCTCTTCTTTTGTACCAAAAAAAAAAAAAGAGTGGTGATGATATAAAAGGGCCTTGCTTGGGCTTTGATTAAATCGAACTATCTTTGCGCTTGGGGCAATGACGCAGCTAGTGAGGTACCACCGAGGCGCGTCTATTGCTGGTTGAAAACTACATCCAAACCCCCTCTTGGGCCTGGGCTTGTCCTTGGCCCTTGAGAATTTTTGGAAGGGCCAGCCTTTGGGTTAGGCCCTAAAATGCTTAGTTTAATAATTTATTATTAGTTTGTGGTACAATTTTTGTTTTTTTTTTTTATTATATTATGTTTCATCAAAGCGCACAATTTGGTACAGTTTTATTTATTTGTAAATAGAGCGTATGCGATTCAAAAATAAGTTAGAGTTTTTTTATACAATTCATTCATTTTATTAAATATATATATAAACAAAAAAAAAAAAAATCATACAATTTTTTCACTACAATTTATTTCATCACCACTTAAATAAATAAATACGGGAGATAGTACGATCTCGTTACTCTGTTAGAATTTATAACCGTTAGATCAACTATGTTCGATGATTACATGAGGATTTAATGGTTACAAACTCAATGGAATGGTTCCGTAACGGATTGTAGCATTTCCCAACCAATGAATACATAGATAGACAAATCCAATGGTTTTGCCAGCCCACACTGAAAGTTGTCCCTTCTCATATATATATATTTGCCCTCATCCATAAGTTCACAAGTGAAATTTGTTTCTGAGCAAACGAACAAATATTTTTGAGCACCAACAACATACTTATACTTATGAAAGTGACATATTTTAGCAAGTAACATGATCAAAGAATCTTTAAATCAAAGTATACCCACACGAGTACGTGTGTGCTCGATCGCGTGTGATAACACATACATTGCATTGCACGAGTATCATTATGTTCGACTCTCTATAAAATGAGCAAAACGAAGATAGAATATATGAGTACCTTGAAGATTAATTATTCAAACATGTAAATGTTGTTGCAAGAATATAAATTTAGTCAAATAAACATTAACTATAGTTTATTGTCTTTATGAAATATTTCATAAACATTTCAAAGAATTCAATGTTTCCACATGATGTTATAATTAAGTAAAGTCACTATTGAGCATCAAATTTTAGGACCAGCCAAGAATTACTAGTCTCAAACGGGTGGACTGTCATCATCATGTGCAACCCATTAATCCCACTAAATTACTGAAATTAATTACAGTCGTCTAAAAAAGGAAAAAAAAAAAAAATCTTATTCCCACCATACTTTTTAAACAACAAATACATTTTTTTTTTCAAATATATATTTAATCTATAGAATAAAATATGCATATTTATATAAAATTATAACTACAATTAGACATTAAAAACAGCATTAACATATTGGACACATATCACAAGTTCACAACACTATTTACAACTAACTACATAAAACGCTTGGTACAAAAAAATGAGTGATGCCAGATATATTTGAAATTATGGAAAGAGAGAAAATTGCAAACATAATCCCGCGTGATTTATCCTATTATAAATGTTGGAATGTCACTTGTTAGTTGTCCTGCATTAATTTTATAGGGAAAATGAGTCTAGTATATAAGCTTAGTGGGCTACTTCTCCCATCACCAATTGATTTCGAGATGGAACCTCACTAATGTGCATTTATGGTCACCCTCTTATGATGCGCTCACATCTTGTGGGACCGACACCCTATTCTCCTGATTCTAATAATAAACTAAATATAAAAAATTTAAAAAAAATATATATATTTATTAAAATTGAATGGATTAATAAAAAATAATGTGGCAATCAAAAGACATAATTTTTAGCCTCAAAAGTGATAATTCATATTGCTAATAATAATGTAAATAAGTTTGAATTTTAGCCTCAAAAGACATTTTTTTTTTTATTTAGATATGACAATCACTTGTAGAGTTGTAGTAGGACTTTTAAAATAATACTATTACTATTTAGTAATTTGAAATGATTCAAAGTTTTTTTTAACTTTTAGTAATTATTGTATCTATACTTGCAAGTGAGGGCATAGGATAGGAAGGAGCGAGACGTTGAGAGCGTGCAAAGCCCCAAAACAAAAAGAAAAAAATTAACCGGTGTCGTGTTCGAGTTCTAGAATGCAGCAGTGTTAAAACTCTTGAGGGAGAGCTTTGCCGCTCTTGTGGTCCTACCCGGCTCGATTCTTGATTAGTCGGTTCCCCTGTAGAGCCGGAAACCGGAAGGTCTCTGTACCAAAAAAAAAAAAAATAATAA